ATTAATTTTCTTTTCTGCGCAAGTGATTTCATAATACTGTAGTGTCTAACTCACAGAATCACAGGCGCGCCACCTAGTGTTTCTGTTGCTTTAAAAATCGCACTTAGGAGTTTAGAACACCATGGCATTAAATTGTAAATTTCGCCTTGGGAGTCTGATCACCATGGCATTACAATAACACTTGTACTCACTTACTCGACCTAAAACATATCAGACATATTAAACATTAATTTTCTTCTGTGCGAAAGTGATTTTATAATACGGTGGTGTCTAACTCACACAATTACGGGCGAGCTACCTAGTGTTTCTGTTGCTTTTCGCAGTAAGAGGTTTATTGCTTGTCACTCAAAACCTAGCGTCCTTAACAACCCGACGTCACGTGGTGTCCAAAAGCGGTCCTCATGATCGCTGCAGTTCTCGTTCCCGACTTTACTGATTTAGCGAGAGAAAATTCATAATTAGTGACTAATTTCATATGGATTTTAAAAGGCTACTTAGGCGATCGATTAGTGTTGTCACTTGTCATTTCAACCTTCAGTTAAACACACTAGTCGCAAATATCACTTGTCAGTTAAATTTTGGGCTACTTGTCACTTGTCAGTTAAAATTTAAGCCGTTTGTCAGTTTTCAGTAAACCAAAGTCATTAAATCTCATCCAAACCAATTGTTAAAATACGTTTAGATAAAACATTAAAATTCGTGTTAAAGATAATCAGTCAATCATTTATCAATTTATATTATTTTTTTTAATAAGTAAGGTTTGGAGACATGTCAGTCAAGAGACTCGATATCTGAGAAAATAAGTCGTGTCGTACGTACACTGGAGACCGCTTTTAAAGAAAGACATAAACTGTGCCATACAAGGTACGTCTTAGCCAAGCCAATTGTCTTGCCAATATAGTCATGTGTTTCTTCGGCATTTTTTATCTAGATTATTGGGTCTCTTATTATTCACAGTGCTTCTGTTTAATCAACCAAAATGTAATGACCATCATTTTTATTCTGTGAATCATGCAAAATTTACTCGTATTTCATTCTAACAAAGGTTGTGTTGAAATTTCCTGGTTGAAAGGGAAAACTGACTTCTATGGTGTTATCAACGCCCAGGTGTGTGGGGATATTCGTGGTTTCTTTGGCCTTCGTCGTGCTTGTCAATATTCTTCTCCACTCGAGATCGCTAAACATAAATAGCAAGGTAAGCCTTCAAATAAAGCACCACTGATACTTTCCAGCAACAAAAAATCCGTGTATAACTGCTCAGTCATCGTTTTATAATTAAGTGTAAAAATCTAACGGGGCATGATTTATTTTGGAGACATGACATTTTAAAAAATAACAATTGGTAATTACGATATCCTTTTTCGACGTCGGTTAATGTTTCTGGTTGCCGAAATCAGGGAAAATACAACAAAACAGTGAATTGCCGCAGCTAGACTGCTAGACTTTGAATCACCCTGAAAAATTAATCCTAATAGGGCGAGATCCTTCAATTGGGCGACGCCACTAATGGGTGGGTACTACCTCATCATTGTTTTCCTTCCTAAAAATAAGTTCCCTACTTTTACTTGGATTACACGACATGCGGTTATCTTTGGACCATGTTAAAAATTGATTTTAATACTAGTTCGGGTGATGTGTTATGATTGTATCAGACAGGTGCGACTAATGTAGAATCATATGTATATTTAAATAAAACAGGATCAGAATTGTGTTCAATTTCTAAATCATTAAGAAAAATATTAAACAAGTACGACCCGCTCACGCTATCCTGAGTGGTACCTTTGTGAATTGGGATAAATGTGTGTTTCCCGAGGATCAAAACAAAGACACCAAAGACACAGCGTCGCTTTTGTTCTGTTAGCATAAATGTTTTAAAATAACTGAGCGACAGACAAGTCTAAATGTTAATGATTTGAAACAGTTTTGGTCTCTATCTTTTGTCTAGAGTCTTTTATACGTCGTTCATAAAATAAAATTAAAGATTTATTATGTTGATTAGCAGACAATAATGTTGTTGTTGAATTTTTGTTTGCGCACTACAGTAAAATTAGCCTAACACTTTTAGTCTGGACAACGAAATTGAGAGAACTTGATCTAGAATAATAACCAGTGAACAAAGATTCCCTACATTCTATCAAAACATCCATTGTCCGAACCCAATAAACTTGTAAACGTTGCTGTAAATTTTGGCTCTCTGTACGTGAAAGAGAAATTCACACCTTAAAAACAGTAGAATTTTAACAGGTGTAATTAATTTGTATAACCTTAGCGCGCATGCTCGTCAGTTGACATAGCCCTTTTGAGTTAAAATCCCCTTGACTCCCGCGTCTCTCTGAGTAATCCCACAAGCTATTCAAGCTATTCAACTAAATCACTGCTATTTCATTGCTTTTTTTCTTTTTTAAATCAGGTTTTCCAAGGGTATAATGCTTCTCAGGAAAAGGTAAGGAGTAAAATGTTACAATTTTCCTCTTAACCTTCTCTCCACGTGCTTGTATTTCAATAGCTTAGTCTTACCCAAAACAGTATTGCAGATCGCGATCATCTATGTATAAACCATAATGCCACTGATGCTTTGCCATTTTGCAGATTTTGAGGTCAGTGGATAAAAAAAAATAGAAATGGAAAGGCCAAAGTCTTTTCCATAGTTTCAGACGTTTTGCAGACTCTGCGTGAACTATGGAGGGACTTTCATTTCACGGGGAGGGAGGTTGTAGATTACCCGACAGAAATTCAGAATATATAAACTCCCAAACGCAAGTGGGTGCTCATCCATTGAGAACAGAGAGTGAGGAAGAGAGAGGGGGTACAGAGGGAGAGAGAGTAGAGAGCGATTTTGAATGCTATATACTAGGTTCATATGCGTAACTTGTGAAGCTTTGTGACAATACTTGTTGTAGGATTTCACTAAGTGGGAAAGGTGCAAAAGGCTTATATCTGGACAGGACACACTGAACAAGACTGGAACCTTGTCTAAGGACTCAGAAATTCTGGGTATCTACAGGATTGATCAAGATTGTGCGCGTGTTTTATATACTCGTTTTGTTCATCCTCCTGTGTCAAAAGAAGAAGAGCAGCTACCAATCGCTTTCGGTCTGACTGTTCATAAAGGTGCTTGTCTGCTTGAGCGACTTCTTCGAGCTATTTACATGCCAAACAATGTCTACTGCATTCATATAGATAAAAAGGCTTCAGCGGTCTTCCGTACAGCAATAATGGCCATCATACGCTGCCTTTCAAACGTTTTTATCGCAGCAAACAGTGTTGACGTCGTCTGGGGACATATTACTCTAGTTGAAGCTCAATTCAGTTGCATGGAAGAGTTGCTGAAATCACCAGTTAAATGGAAATATTACATTAGTTTAGTGGGACAGGATTTTCCTCTATATGATAACAAGCAGATTGTACGAGCGTTACAAGGTCTCAACAACACAAACAACATCGGTAGCTCTCCAATGCCTTTTTCCCATCGAATTAAAAAAGGGCCACCACCACACAACATTTCAATCTATAAAGGATCCACTCATATTATTGCTTTAAGAGAATTTGTCGACTTTGCCCTTCACAGCCAAATAGCAAAAGACTTCTATGAATTCTTAAAGGAAACTAAAATCCCGGATGAAACGATATACGCTTCTCTACAACAACTTTCAGGAGCTCCTGGGGGAATCAAAGGAAATCAACCAAAGTGGATTCAACGAGCTATGCATTGGAATGGTGGTAGAAGAACCCATCGGGGTTGTCTTGGGATGTGGAAGCGAGAGATTTGTTGGATTTCGCTAAAAGATTTACGCTGGGCTCTAAGAGAAGACAACAAAGAGAAACTTTTTGTTCATAAGATTCCGTTTGACTTTAACGAGGAATTAATAGAATGCATTCTTGTGGCAAGGCAGGGCAGGAAATACGCCACTGCTTTGTGGAAAGGAGAAGAGAATGTCCAGAAAGAATAAATTTCGACTACCATTAAACGGTAAAGTATGAGTTGCCGAATAGTCGTCTGTATACAGCAAACGGAAAAAGAAGAGTCATTTCGAATAGACAGACAGCGATAAATGTTAGGTTACTGAATAGATACCGCTTCGAAGAATAAGATGGAACGACTAGTTCATAGTACATTCGAACATAAGGGGGAGGTTATCACTTTAAATACATGGTTTTCAAAAAAAAACGCGAAAAACAAATGTAATAGGCAGATAAAAAGATGTCTCAAAGACATCGAAGCTAAAGTACAATATTCAATGAAATACATTTTTATTCACATTTCCAAAGTATAAAGAAATTATTGTTTAGGAGAAGTGGATAAGTTAGATGCCTAGGGTAACAAAATACAGTTAGGAGTAAGGAATTGCGTAGTGTTTAAAATAGCCGTCAAGTTTTGGATGTTAAAAAATAACTGTAAGATTTTCGAGTTAAGCAATGCTAAAACTCACCAAACAACAGAAGCTTGGTTCTCAAGAGCCTGCGAGCAAGCGGCGAGCGAAGCGAGTTGCGAGGTAACCCGCAAGCTTGCGGCAATTAGCCGCGTGGGGCTTCTCCTCTCACGTAGTCGCGTCGTTTTCTTCCGGTTGCCTCATGACCTCCTAAGAGATCCCTCAAATGGATCGGAGGTTCTGACACAACGGGGCCTAAAGACCAAACACCCTGCATGGATAGCTATAAGCTAAGGGTATGCCCACACTTGACCGGGAGCCAGTGCCCAGCTACCGGCGCAAAATGGTGTTGTGGTCACTCCTTGGGTACCTCATATCAGTAATTGTGTACAGTCAAGAGCCATAATGGCTCTTGGTACAATCAAACCCTGTTCATTATAATAAGGACACTGAAGGGGCCATAGAAAGTGTCCGTATTAACGGTGTGTCCGCATTTAGCGGGTCAAGTTACGTCAAAATAGTAAGGAAATAAAACAGGAGACTTGAATTGTCTAAATAGACATCTCTAAACTTCCCAAAGCCTTTATTCCGCGTACTATGTCCTTGAAGACACCCAAAAGTCTCGAAAAGTCGCACATTATATCTTACATAATCAAATGAACCGTTCTCTTCATCCTATTCGGTGTGTTGCAGCGTTGGGAGCATCAATATGGTGTCAACTGAAGGTTTTTTATCTTATAAACTGAGGTTTATTCAGTACAGCACGCAGTGGAAAATGAAGTGTCCGCATTAGCAAGGTTTACTGAGCAAGACAAAAGTGTCTGTTCCCACATTAAGGGTGTCCGAAATAAGTGGGTTGAATTTAGAGAAAATGCATGTGTGGGCTTTCTTTCCCCATAGACAAAAAAAAACTGTCCGTAATAAAGAGATGTCGGTATTAGGTGGGTGTCGGTACAGCGGGGTTCGACTGTACATAGTTACTTCATTTCATCCTGTCTGAACCCATATTGAAACATGAGCCTAGCAGCGAGTAGCCTGCGAACGGCAGACGTTTCTCCTCGCTCATTGCCGCTGAGGGACGTTCCGCGAGGAAGAACTTCTGCGACTCAGCGACAGAAATTCCATACTGATGACCTTGATTGAAAGGGATCGTGGAAGTACAGTAAATTAAATAGAACATATTTCTTTAAGAACGAATTCATGAGAGAGAAAGGTCAGTTTGATCACTATTTTAAACGTCGAAGTTGTAATGTAATTCTAAACAACTAATAAGTCTATCTTCGAGACTTCCCATTAAAATATCCCATAATTAGTTAACTTTTTATACGGTAACTAATATAAGAACATTCCCTTGTTTTTAAGCATAAATCAAAATTGGGTAAGAGTAAACTGAATCAAAGCTAAAATTTCGATTGCTTGCATTTTTATTTTCTAACACTTAGTCCGTCAAGAGAAACAGAATGGTATGAAGAATTTTTTTTTTTTTGGTAAATACTTTTTCTTTTTAGTTTTTCAAACAGTTTTCTCGTAACAATGGTCGATCTCTTGAGGTCGATCAATCTATATACAAGTTAAGGGTGCATATACGTCAAAAATCCTCAAGTCCTCTTTTTCACTTTTCGCCACTCGACAATATTATAATTACGTGCAATTTATTCATGGGAAACAATCAAAGCACACTTGCAGATTAGCATATTGACAAAGGTTAACAAATATTGCTGAGCTAAAAATATCGAATAAATTACGTGTTAAGGAAAGCGATTTGCGTCATATAACCAGTCATCCGAGGGCAGTAACTGAGCAAGAAAGAAAAAAGTGGTCACCCAGAACGCTGAGAAAACGGCGTTTTTACGCGCCAAAGACTATGGAAAACACGGAAGACAAAAGTCCTGTCGCTAAAGAAAAAGCCAGGAATATCATATGCTTTTTTGCGCTTGGAGTCTTGTCGCTGATCTACGATGAAATATCGCTAGCTGCCGCTGAGGATGTCTTATCGGGGAGCAAGATAGCTACCACAAATGTAATAATCGCTATTGCGTTGCCCGTACTGGCTGTTAAAATTTCCGCACCGTGGTTTATTCAAAAATGCTCATATTTGTACAAGTCAGGTATAGTTGTGTTTCTACTGGTTGCTGGATTGATCGTGATTGTGTCGGCTGAAAGTGTCCGCTTGCGATTGTTCGGTATCAGTATAATCGAATCAGGGGTCAGTTTTAGCGAGATAACATTCCTGGCATTGACTGCAGCTTATGAGGATGTCACAGTAAGCGCGTTTGTAGCCGGCATTGGTGTTGCCTCGCTTCTTGGACCATTGTACTATACAGGTAATTATTATGCCGTTATTACCATTCTATCCCCCCTCCATATACACCTAATACACCTTGTCACGGTTTTCGACGCCATCTTGACGAGTTGGCAAACCCGTGAGAAATTACAGTGTTTGTATGAGAATTTAATGCCTAATAATTTCCGTAAAACGGCTGTTTTAAAAAATATATGAACTGTAAACTAAAGCTTCACGCTTAAGGATTCTAATGACAAAATTTGAGGGCGTTACATGCGCTAGAAGACCTAGAACCTTTTTCTAAAATTTTCTATCCATTTGTCTGTACAAATTTCCAGGGAAAAATTGCAGACAAAAATATAGAAAATCTAAAGCAAGCTTCTGGAGAAATTTAAGCACAGTAACGACCCTCAAGATTTGTTGGTAAAATCCTTTGCTGTGTAGCTTTCGTTTACAGTTCAAATTTTTTCCAGAACAGCCGTTTTAAGGAAATTATTCGACATTGGATTCTCATTCAAACACTGTAATTTCTCACGCTGTAATTTCTCACGCGTTTGCCTACTGGTCAAGATGTCGAAAACCGTGACAAGGTCTATTGCAATAACGTTGTCATAAATAAAATAAGAGAACTGAAAAAAGTTAGAAATATAAGAAATATCAAGTTAGGACACTCATGAAAAATGGGAACAAAACAGAAAATTGGAAATGACTGAAGTTACTGATAGGGCTACGGTTTAGGTTAGGTTTAGTTCCCATTTTTCATTTTCCCTTTTCTCGTGCTCATTCTCTATAATAATAACAATAAGCTCTATTTATTCATCTTTTAAAAATATATACTCTCTACTCCCAGTTCCGTGCAACTTGAAACGTGAACTTTACTCAGGGCCCGCAGAGCGGATTTTCAAGGGGCGGGGGCGGGGGTCGGGGAGGGGGCTAATGCGAACGCGTAAGCGTGAGCAAACTAGGAGAATCCGAAAAAATTTCAAATTTAAGTCTTCTAAAATGGCTATAAATGCATCTAAAACTGCCAATAGTAATCAGTCTGAATAGTAATATAAATTTGTAATTATCACATTCGTTACAACCTGGCCCCCACTTTAGACCAAAATTCAAGTGAATGGACTTTGAAGCTAAGCCCAACACGCAACGGTTGAGTGTCACCCGGACATTTTTAAGTCCGCAGGATTCTGTGAAGGTGCCAAAGTTGTCTTTCCAATTGTCATTAAGAGCTGCAAACTCATTGGCAACAGCTACAAGACAAAGTTTGTCTGTTCTCTGTTTGTGGGTGTTAAGTATTGTCAGATTACTAAACCTTGTTTGTGTGGTAAGTGACAGATATGGGTAACCAGAGTGAAAAAAAAAATTACCATTCGAATAAGTGGGAGTGCTAAAGCCCCCCAGCCCCACCCACTGCGCGGTCCCCGAATATTATATTCAGAAATTAGAATTGGAATTTATTAGGGAACCAAACCCTCTCGGCCAACCGTTCCGGGTACAATGTTCGATGTGTGTGACTGAGAGAGTTGTTCTAGTTCTGTGCCGTTGGGGTTCATTTCCAGAAAACAGAGAGTGAAGTTCACGGGGAGTAGTTATTCTACTTTTTGCAACAAAATCTGTACATGTCGCGTGTTTTACCGACACAAAGCAAACTTGGTTTGCATCAAGTGACGAAACTCCCGTGCATGCAATGCTTCCTGCGAAATTTTATCCAATTGGAATTTAGTATTTACGCAAATTGCAACTACCTAATTTGTTGCAAGACAAATTTGAACGTGGGTGATATGATGCGCAACATCAATTTTCAACTTGTTTCGCTGCAATGTTGCTATTAAATCAAGTTGAGCGTTTCTGTTCCCCTTTTTACCGTACCTTAATTATCATGAAAAAGCAAGCTAGGTGCTAAGTAACTGTGCTCTAATTTTCTCCTAGGTCTTACAACTTGGGCATGTCTTCCACCAAGAACAGCAATCTTAACAACCTTCCCCTGGCCCTTCCTTGTGTTGTTCCTGTACGCTTTCCTGGAGAAAAAACAGCACAGTATAAATGTAAAGCACAAAGAAAGCGGAGGTGCTAAATATAACAAACTGCCGACTTCGTCTGACAAAGACGATTCGGACTCCGCCCCTAGAAATGAGTTAGCTTGGAAAGAAAAGTTGTTAGTTGCCAAGCGCATTTTACCCTACATAACTTTCTTGTTCCTCACCTACTTTGCTGAATATCTATCAAATCAGGGTGTCATTACCACGCTTGCCTTTTCCGACTCGTCTTTCAGCCCGAGGGATCATTATCAATATTACATCGTGTGTTATCACGTGGGCAAGTTCCTTGGCAGGTCCCATATTTTCCTCCTCTCCTGCACCTGTTCAAAAGTGATCCCATATGTGCGCGTCAGGAAAACCTGGATATTAGCGCTGGTAGAAATAGCTCATCTTGTTTTCTTCCTTTTCGCATCGTGGTTCCGCTTTGTACCGCACGTTTCTATAATTCTTATTCTCTGCGTAACTGAGGGGTTTGTAGCAGGCTCCATGTACGTAAACTCAGCTCACACCGTGTCTGACATCATTGATGACCCAAAGGAGAGAGAATTTGCTTTAGGATTACTGACCATCGGCAACGGACTGGGTAAACTAACTGCAGGCTTTTTGGGTCTTCACGTAGAACCACAACTGAAAAAGCACTGTGTTTACGATCTCGAGTTAAGGGATGAATGTATCACGAGATTCCCGCAACCCTCAGGTTGGACAAAAAATATGCACTGTTATAGCCGTGACTACAATGTTAAGTCTAACTCCACAGGATTGTAGCTAAGATTTTCGTCAAGGTTTTTGTAATGCAACAAACAAGTTAAAGAGTATCCGAAGTTTCTCAAGTTATTTAAGAAACTCAAATCAGCCAATCAGAAATCAGGACTCTAGCCCCGTAGCTGCCGAAAAGGGCGAGAAAAACGCATGACTTAAGTCGCTCATTTACGCGCCGTGCATTGGGCTCGAGAATGCGAATCATTATATTCTGGTCGGATGAAAAATGGCGCGAAAATTCCATTCAATCATGCGAAAGAAATCGTGGTGTTTATACGTAGGTGTGGTAGTGAAAGAAAAAGTTTTGTTTTATCGTATGAGTGCCTTTACCACCGTAAAGGGATTCAAACCGGATGACCTTGAGTGAAGGGTTTCGTCGAAAAGAGGCCGCTGAATTACGTGACCCACCCCCCTTCCCTACCTTAGTATTTTAAGGTCCTTTTAGGAAAGTCTTAAATGTAGCGCAGGTGATAGATAAATAGAAATTAAATAGACTGCAATGGACTACTTGGCATTCTTCAATTTTTATTGTTAAATAAAAAAGACACTACGGAATATCTGGACATGACTCTCCCGCTTATAAAAGGCACTGTAATTCGTAATTGAAGCAAATTAGTACTTGAATAACCGCACAGCTCCTTAAAAGGCAGGCAAATAATTGAATTCGCTTAATTGCGTTCGAGGTACGAGAACGCAACCCCTTATTTGTGTTGGGTGTTCTGTGCATTATTGGGTGTCTTGTGCAATTAATAAGGGAGGTTTTTTCGAGATTGCATTCGTCGTCGTCGACACAATAGAGGATGTTAGCATCAACAACGAGTACGAGTACGAGAACGACTTCAAGCCGTGCTCGTAATCGAAGTCGTTTTCTCAGCTTTCTATGTTAGCGATGACACCGAGTTCGAGTTTATAGAAGATAAAATTATGGGATTCCGCATGACTGGGCGCCAAATTTGAGTCGAGGTAGCGTTCCCACAACAATTTGGAAAACAAAAAATGACTCTACAAAACGTTCAAGACTGCTTGTTAATCGATTTTTCGAGGTAAATCGAAGGATGGTTAGTCGCGATATTAAAACACGCTAAAACCCATCAAATTCAACACAACAACCACACTGGATAAAGAAGTATAAGTATTCTTTATTGATATCTTCGACTGTTGGGATATTTTCGACCAAATAATGGCAATTTTCGGGGTTATTTCGTGAGCCTGTGAGGCCCGTGGAGAGACATGAAACTTTCCCGGGTAAATGCAAATTTACTCTGTGTAGGAAATATCGCGTTCGGTTGCTGTTCCTCGACTTCAAAAGCAGTATCTTACATAAAACATAATATAAGGAATGTTCAAGATGATAAAGAGAGGCTAGAAACGAAAAGAAACTGCATTAAACGATCGGAATTACCTTTGAAAACCAGCTCTTCTCAGTCGTTCTACCCACTTCGAGTTTTTGGTGAGAACTCGTCGTAGTGCAACTTGACAGGACGACTTGAAAACGTGGAGATGCGCAGAACGGATGCGCAGTACGCAAAATCGCTGATCTCGTTCTAGAATTCGTACTCGTTGTCGATGCTAACATCCTCTATTGCCTCACTTTGAGACGTTTGCTTACGTTTTGCCTCACTTTGACGCGCTAACTCACTGGAGATTCGTGTGTCCTCAGCGTTCAACTTTCAAACGTTTGCTGAGGTCTGCCTTTCTGTCTTCGTAAATCGTTCATCTTTTAAAAGTGTGCTGAATTTTCGTAAAGCGTACATATTTAAGACTTTACTGAAGGTCTACTATCGATCTGTGTTTAATGAATCTTCCAAAGCGTTCATCTTTCAAAAGTGTGTTGAAAGTTTACACCCTGAGTAAAATTTTCCTTTGGATTAAGTCTTCATATTTTTGTTTGGATAATGCGTGCTACTCCTTTTGCATGCATCAAATCGGGTTGTTTAGCAAAGCGTCCGTTGTGCCACAAAGTAAATTTACTGGCGAGTTGTGAAGCTCAGCATCTGTTGTGCCACAAAGTAAATCTACTGAGTTGTGTGGCTAGGCGGCCGTTATTCCACAAAGTAAATCTAACGAGATGTGAAGCTCGACTGGACAAACGAACATTTTAGCTAGGCAGGTACAAAAGTCGGACCGGACTGAACTCGGACCGCCAGTCAGCTGGCCAGTCTGGGTCGGATCAACTGGGATCGACTTGGATCAAATAAAAAAATAAAAATAAAATAAAATTGGACTCGGATCAACTCGGATCATAAAAAGAAGAATAACATCAGTCGGCGTCACTTACCTTTCACCCGCCATTTTGCTTTCTTCTCACGACCTCGTGGATGCGTAAATTAATTTAATTTTTATTTTTATTAATTTTGATGATAAACTTGTGAGCAGCACACATACACTTCCAGTGAACATTTTTAACTTGGAAGGGGGAGAAACCATGCTCGCCCGGGACAAAGGAAATTTTCAAGCCCCAGGAGAGAATCGAACTCGCGACCCGGCTTCATTTTGCCAATAAGTTGACGATTGGACACTCTTAAAAATAACTGAGAAAATTATCCAAAGAAAAAGAAACCCGGGTACAGCGTTGATCGGCCTTCGAACAACTACGCCCAGCAGAATATCTATTGCGCCAGTAAAACAAAAAGTTCTTTTTACACGCCCGAAGCACTCTGGCTGGTGTCTCCTCAAATAACAAGCACTTGATACGAAACATACGATATCAAGCTGATCACTAGCCTTCAAAACCTTTTTATTATGATACACAGTTTAAATCGAGGTTTCGCCGTACGCAACCCTTACGTTCAAAATATGCCATAATCATAGTTATCTATCGCAAGAACCATCCACCCTTTCCCCTATACTGGTACCTGTACGCCTGGCAAACATATCGAACGCACTCTCCTAAGCTCCGATTACTCCTAGTACAATTACTATTGACCACTTTACTTGCAAATAACCCCTCTTCAAAGCTGCCAAAACTGACAAAAATCTTTTTCTCTAATCTATTGCCATTTTCTCACAAGAGAAAATGACTGGTATACTGAACGTTTGATGAAAAATACATGTCAATTAAAATCTTTGGAAAAGAGCTAGCCTAAATGCATTTTCAGCTTCCCTGATCTTGCAAGTACAGTAAAACCCCCTTAACTCCAACTTTAATAAACTAATTTAACTTTCAGCAACTATTTTCCTACTAAACCAAACCCTTGCGAGGTCAAGCATTATTTGTTTACCCTGGGCGTTTCTAAGTACAGTTACCCCTGATGAAAGACCATAGCCATGTGCTATCTATTACAGATAATGGTGTACTTGCCTTTACGCAAGTTTATCAACAACAAACGCAATGCAAGGTTATCTGATATCCGGTTACACAGGTGGTCTCCCAGAAAGGGGATGTTGATGCTGGCTTGCAGACAGACTTACACTGCAACCAAAGGTTTAGTTTGGTCTGTGGTGTAGGCTAGATTCAACTCCCAGCTAACTGAATGTAAATGACACAAGCAATAAGATGGTGATGTCAAAATACGGCGGGGCTAAAGTGCAGGTCACAGGTTACAGGCCACAGGTCACAGGTCAGCAGTTTGCAGAGTCAAAGATTCAAGTTGTAATGGCAGAATGCTCCCACCTAAGGGCCACGAGGCAAATCCATCAGAGGTTTTTCAAGCTGTTGTGCAACAGAACGTGAGAAAATGGCAAGCTTTTGGGAGAAGAGCCGAGAAATATGGTCCAGCAACTATTCGAGAGGCCCAAATAGCAGTGTCTGAAGTTTTTAGCCGACTATACTTTAACACAGCAGTATTTTGTGACTGGTACGAAGCGCGAGCAACAGGCCGCCATCTTCAAAAGAGATGGAAGACCGATCTAGTGGCAAGAAGAGTTTAGGACGAGGAAAGTCTGAAGAAAGTTGCCATATTTCAGTGGTCAAATAAGTTTTACACTGCCCTTAAGTTTTTCTTCCGTTTTCCCGTCGAATGCTTTTCAAAAGATCCACAAACACGTCATGATATTCTTAACACAACAACCCTTCGTTTTTTCTATAACAAATCACGTGATTTTGCGTACCTTTGTGATTTCGTTACCAACTTTGGTTACGCTGTAACGGAAGTCCTCCTTGCGTGATCAACGTGAATATATTTTCTCATGTGCGGGATTTGGTAAAGTTCAGAACAGAAAAAATATAATTGAGGTTCCTTGGCTTGTTTTATTTTTGTATGATAAAATGTCAATCAAGACAGTGTTGTCCAGTTTCCTATTGTTTTTGCGTGTGATCTGTGATCTAACCTGTGACCTGACTTGTGGCCTGTGGTCTGACCTGTGACCTGGCCTGTGGCCTGTGACCTGTGACCTGTAACCTGACCTGTGATCTAGCTGACCTGTGACCTGTGACCTACACTTTAGCCCCGCAGTGTCAAAATACTTGCATCAAGGCTGGAATATAAGAAAAACAGTAGGAGCCCCTAATCTCTGAATAGGTTAAGGGAAAACTAACATCTCCTCCTTGCAAAAAGGCCAAATTGAGTCGCACAGGTAACGAGGCATTGCAAGAGCACAGCATTGTCTAACTAATACTTAAATACTCAATATCCTTTTTTAGTAGCTTACCAAGAATGCAAGCCCATCTGAAATTAAAGGGACAGTGTCCCGATTATGCGCACGCGCGAGCGTCATATGTTTTTTCTTCAAAAGACAATAGAACTGTCATGTTGACTCGACAAGATTTCCTTCCGGACCGCACCGCCGAGGGAGATTTGTTGTTTATATTCTCAAGTAATATTTTAGACTTTCGAAGAAGTCTTTCGTCTTATATAAATATTTGGCTCGCGGTTCGAAGACTCATCGCGATTTTATCGCTAGCTGGGCCGCCTTGCGACCCGAAAATCTCGTTTCGCTCGCTTTAAAAACATATTTTCAAATTTGAAACTCGTTTCAGAGGTCAATTGTGCCAAGTCCAGTAATATCTGCCTGATTTGCTCGCGTTCTAGCCTCAAACGTTGAAAGACATTAAAAAAATGCAATCTCAACGCTATGAATCATCACAAAGGTTAGTCAAAAATTATATTATGATTTCAGGGCACTAGTTTTTCTAAACATGTAGCGCCTGTTTGTTTGATTTTGTCGGCCGAAGGGAGATTCATTTAAAAGTTTACTAACGTGTCGTTGCAAGACATTCTGCTTCGCGAAGCTCCCCTCCACAAGATCTCCTCAGTCACATCAATGTCTCAATGGTTTCTTTCTTACAGTCTTTATTGTTGCTGTTTCATTTCTGCTTATTCCTTTCACAATTATCTGAGCTTGTATGGAAGCTAGCAGAAGAAATAAGCCTTCAATCGGCATCAAAGTGCTTCCAATCTTTTGGTCCTCTGGCCAACGGCAATAAAAGTAACGCCATAAAATCCAGATTTTGCCCAAATCGAAACTCAACCGGAACAATATATCACTGATCTGTAATTCTGAGACGTTTAATTGTCGTATTGAACCCGGCCAAGCGCGATGCAAACGGATTTTTCAAGGTTCTCTTACTCTCCTCGCACCTTTTGATTTCGCGACATCCTGTCCAAAA